CTGGGCCCCCACTTCCCTCCCTTTCTTCTTTACTAATACCCTTGCTCCTATGATCCTACCTCTGTTGAGCTTCTTGTTTCTCCTTATCCCCTAGGTTCCTCATATACCCTTCCCTCCCCCCTCCCTTAGACTAACCCAAATTTTATCCATATCTCCCTTATTAAGGACTGTTTCCTACTGTTCTTCTCTTTCGGGTTCTTTCTTTTCCTTTACTTCCCTGTTTCCTTTCCATTATCCTGGTTCCTGTAGTTATGTCTGGATACATACTCACTTATCAGGGTTTGGTTCTAGGAGCCACATATGAGGACGAACATATGTCAGTTTTTTTTTCTGAGCCCGTGTTACTTCACTTAGCATAACAGTTTCTTGTTCCATCCATTTACCTGCAAATTTCATGATTTCATCTTTGTTTACTGATGAGTAAAACTCCATTGTATAAATGAACCACATTTTCATTATCCACTTGTCAACAGAGGGACACTTAGGTTGTTTCCATTTCTTAGCTATTGTGAAAAGAGCAACAACAAACATGGATGTACCAGTGCAATAGGATGAGTTCTTTGGGTATATGCCAAGGAGTGGTATAACTGGGTCAAGTGGTAGGTTCATTTGTAGTTTTTTAAGAGTTGAAATCTTAAAGTGGTTTTAATTTGCATTTCCCTAATTATTAGTGATGTTGAACATCTTTTCAGATGCTTCATAGACATCTTTGCTCCTTCTTTTGAGAACTCTTATGTTCAGCTCCTTAGCCCATCTTTTAATTGGGTTACTTCATGTCTTGATTCTCTGTTTTTTGACTTCGTTATATATTCTGGATGTTAAACCTCTGTCAGATGTGACGCTGGTGAAGATTTTCTCCCATTCTGTGAGTTTTCTCTTCACTTCTCTGGTTGCCTCTTTTGATGTACAGAAGCTTTTTAGTTTAATAAGGTCCCATTTGTTGATTCTTGACCTCGTTTCCTGAGCAATTGATGTCCGGTTTAGAAAATCCTTTCCTACACCTATATCTTGTAGGTTTTTGCCAATGTTTTCTTCTAACAATTTCAGAGTTTCAGGTTTTGCATTGAGATCTCTGATCCATTTGGAATTGACTTTTGTGCAAGATGATAGAGGTTTAGTTTCATTCTTCTACAGGTGGAGATCCAGTTTTGCCAGCACCATTTGCTGAGCATGCTGTCTTTCCTTCAGTTAATGTTCTTGGCCCATTTGTCAAATATCAGGTGACTGAAATTGCATGTACTCATATTTGGGTCTTCAGTTTTGTTCCATTGATCTATGGGTCTATTTTTGTGCCAGTATTGTGTTGTTTTTATGATTACAGCTCTGTAATACAGCTTAAAATCTGGTATAGTAATCCCCCCAGCATTGCTCTTAGTACTCAGGGTTGCTTTGGCTATCCGAGGTCTTTTGTGCTTCCATGTGAATCTTAGGATGGTTTTTTTCCGATTCTGTGAAAAATGTCATGGAGATTTTGATTGGCATTGCATTGAATCTATAAATGGCTTTTGGTAGGACAGTCATTTTCACAATATTAATTCTTCCAATCCATGAGCATGGGAGGTCCTTCCATCTTCTGATGTCTTCCTCAATCTCTTTCTTTAAAGAGGTCTAATGTCTTTGGTCAAGTTTATTCTGAGATTTTTTTTTTTTTTGTAACTATTGTGAAGTGGAGTGTTTGCATGTACTGTTTCTCTGATTGCTTGGTATTGGTATCTAGAAAGGCTACTGACTTTTGTAGGTTAATTTTGTAACCTGCCGCTTTACTGAACGTGTTAGTAATTTCTAGGAGTTTTCGGGTGGAATTTTTAGCATCTCTTAGATATAATATATCATCTGCAAAAAAGGATAATTTGATCTCTTCTTTTCCAATTATTACTCCTTTAATTTCCTGCTCTTGTCTTATTGCTCTTGCAAGAGTTTCAAGTACTATGTTAAAGAGAAGTGGAGATAGTGGACAGCCTTTTCTGGTTCCTGATTTCAATGGGAATGCTTCCAGTTTTTCTCCATTTAGAATGATGTTGGCTGTGGGTTTGTTATATATGGTTTTAATTATGTTAAGGTATGTTCTCTCCAGTCCAATTCCCTGTAGGGCTTTGAACATAAATGCATGTTGAAAGGTTTTGTCAAAGGCCTTCTCTGCATCTATTGAGATGACCATGTGGTTCTTGTCTTTGAGCCCATTTATATGATTTATGATGTTTATTGACTTGTGTATATTGAACCATCCCTGCATCTCTGGGATAAAGCTGACTTGATCATGGTGGATGATCTTTTTGATGTGTGTCTGTATGCGATTTGTAAGTATCTTGTTGAGAATTTTTGCATCTATGTTCATTAAGGATGTGGGTCTATAGTTTTCTTTTTTGGTTGTATCTTTACCAGGCTTTGGTATGAGAGTGATGCTGGCTTCATAGAAGGAATTTGGAAGTTTTCCCTCCATTTCTATTTTTTTGAATAAATTAAGTAGTATTGGATGTAGATCTTCTTTAAATGTCTG